TATATATATATATACACACATATAATTAGGGTTTAGGGTTTAGGGTTTAGGGTTTAGGGTTTAGGGTTTTTGGATAAATTGGTCAATATAAGACATAAAAAAACACAAAAAGAAGAAAAAAAAAGACAGAAATAAATGCAACAGCAGCAGCAGCAACAGCAGCAGCAAAAGCAGCAAAAGCAGCAACAGCAACAAGAAAAGAATTACTTTTTGTTTAGGTTGTATAGATAATAATTTATTTCCTTCCTTAAGGATAAAAGAAACAGAAAAAGATTTTTTTATTTCTTTTTCCTCAGGAAGAAAGACACAAGAAAAAGAAGGATAAAATAATACCTATAAATAAATAAATAAATAAATAAATAAATAAATAAATAAATAAATATATTTGCTGCTCCTGCTGCTGCTGATGCTGTTGCTGCTGTTCGTGCTGCTGCACGGAGACGGTTCTGTACATGCCACTATAGTAAATATATTTTTTCCTTTTCTAGGGTTTAGGGTTTAGGGTTTAGGGTTTAGGGTTTAGGGTTTAGGGTTTATTGGCTGACCGTTTCTGTGTTTTGTTTGTTTGGATTATTTTTATCTTGTGTCTTAAGTTGCATCTGCAGCTGTATCTGCTGCTGCTGCTGCTGCTGCTGCTGCTGCTGCTGCTGCTGCATTTGCTGCAGTGGTCCCCCTAATACATTACATAAATATATTTGTTTTTCTCCTGCTGCTATTTCTGCTGTAAATGCATTTGCTGCTGCTGCTGCATGCAGAGCAGCAATATGTATATGCATGCCGCTGCTGCTGCTGCTGCTGCTGCTGCTGCTGCTGCTGCGCATGCAATTATTAATTACATTAATTATTTTACCTATTGCTGCACTTATAGATAAACGAATAGAAGGAGAAGAAGGAAAAGATAAAGGAAATGAAGAAACAGACCTGCATATACACCCCAAAACCCTAAACCCTAAACCCTAAACCCTAAACCCTAAACCCTAGAAATCACCCTATTGACATCTTTTAAAACGACGCATGCATACATGCATGCATGCGTTATACTCTGGGGCTTGTTATACACATTTATTTATTTATTTATTTATTTACCTAAAAAAAGAAAGAATAAATAAAGAAATAGCCCTAGATAAGGAAGGGTTTATGGATAAATTATGTAAACCCTTGAGGTGTATATACACCTCATCTAATAAACCCTTAGGGTTTAGCAATAAGGGTTGGGCACCATACAGCAGCAGTGCAGCAGACTCAGAAGCAGCACCTGCAGCAGCAGCAGCAGCAGCAACAGCAACAGCAGCAACAGCAACAGGAATACACAGATATTCAAGAACGTTGCTGCAGCAGCTGCTGCTGTTGCTGCTGCTGCAGCAACTGCAGCAGCAGCAGCGAGAGAGAGAAATATTGTGCCCTATGGCTAAATTGTAGATCTGGACTCCAACAACAACAGCAGCAGCAGCAGCAACAGCAGCAACAGCAACAGCAGCAGCAGCAGCAGCAGCAGCAGCAGACCTGGTTGCATATGTTTAGCGATTTGTATAAGTGTATTTCCTTTCTTATCTGCTAGCTGTCCGTACACCCCAAAGTTTTGCTGCGCTGCAGCAGCAAGAGTTGCATTAGCAGCAGCAGCAACAGATGCAGATGCAGCAGCAGCAGCAGCAGCAGACCATAATGCAGCACGTATTGCACCTTCTTCCTGCTGCTGCTGCTGCTGCAGAGGAGATTGAACAAAGTGCCGCAGCACGGGCTTAAACTCCTGCACACAGCAGCAGCAGCAGCAGCAGCAGAAAATAAAGAAATGGAAACGCAGCAGCAGCTGCTGCAGCAGCTACAGCTGCAGCAGCAGCAACAGCAGCAGCAAGACTTACTCCATCTAGCTGCGTATACACCACAGAAGAGCAATCTGCTGCTGCTGCTGCTTCTAACAACTGCAGCAAATCAACAAGTTCTTCTATAGGTATATCATCATCTGTTATCTCCTGCTGCTGCTGCTGCTGCTGCTGCTGTTGCTGTTGCTCCTCCTCCTGTTGCAGTTGCTGCTGCTGCTGCTGCTGCTGCTGCTGCTCTACAGCCTCAAAGAGTTCTATATGTTGCTGCTGCCATCGCTGCAGCTGCTCGCTTAACGAAGTACAAATGCGCTTCCTAATCTGCTGCTGCTGCTGCTGCTGCTGTTGCTGCTGCTGCTGCTGCTGCTGCTGCTGTGTCTCTCCTTCTGAGAGGTGGAGGAGAGCATACACATGCAACTCTCTAGCAAATGGAGATTCCTGCATAACACACAAGCAGGAACAGCAGCAGCAGCAGCAGCAGCAGCACAAGCAGCAGCAGCAGCAGAATTTTGAGGTGTACATACACCACAGAGTATACGTCCGTAGACACCTAAACCCTAAACCCTAAACACTAAACCCTCGATTGTGTTGTTCCTTGAGTTGTTAAGGTAGATATGTCTCCCTCTCATTAAAAAAAACTGCTGCTGCTGCTTCTTTTGCTGCTGCTGCTGCTGCTGTTGCTGCTGCTGTTGCTGCTGCTGCAGCAAACGGATTAATCTCCTTACCCCCCAATGTGCAGTTCTATCCTTTAATGCTGCTATTTGTAAGGAAGGCACAGGGATCTGCAGCATATTCTCCAATCGTCCTGCTGCTGCTGCTGCTCCTGCTGCTGCTGCTGCTGCTGCTGCTAGCATGCAGAGGCGAGCTAAAGAATACCCCCGTTGAGCCATAGTTAAGGAGAGGGGGGTAATAAGAGGGGGGGGCCCCCTTGCCCTGCTTATATATGTATAGATAGAGGCAATAATAAATAAGAAAATAAAATAAATATAAAATAAATATAAAATAATAATTAAATTAAATAAAATAATTAATTAATTAAAAGAAATGATGGGCATTTTATGCAAGAAGAGAGCAGCAGCATCGGTTGGTGCCTGCTGAGGTGTACAGACACCTCAACAACAGCAACAACTTTTTTGTACTTTTTTCTATAAAATTATTCAATTTTTTATTTTATTTTTATTTATTTTTATTCTTTTTATTATTATTTACACAATTAACACTCATGGGGGCCCCAAGACAGCATGCAGTAGTAGCAGTAGCAGCTGCTGCTGCTGCTGCTGCAGCCGCCTGTATGGCTGCAGCTTACTAGCATATATATATACACATAAATAAGATAAATGTTTATTTTTCTTCTTTTTTTCTTCTTTTTTTATTTATTTATTATTTATTTTATTTAATTAATTCTTTTTTTTATTCATTTTTATATAATAATACACTAGGCATATACATATCTGCTGCCGACGTATCGAGTGCTGCTCTTATTTTGCTGCTGCTGCTGCGTCTGCTGCGTCTGCTGCTGTTGCTGCTGTTGCTGCTGCTGTTGCTGCTGCTGTTGCTGCTGCTGCTGCTGCTAAATAATTATAACATGTAAATATCCATAAAAAGGAGGTATTTATATTATTAATTTATTTATATAAATGTAATTCATTAATTTATTCAAAATAAAT